CCCCAGCCAATACAGAATTCAGGATTCTCTGTTTCCCCTACTCTGACACATTTGGAAATCACCCCTAGGTTAGATGCTTGTTGCCCATAGTGACACAAACTCAGGATATTGTGGTAACAAGTAGGGACTTGCACGCAGCCATCATGGGCTCTTAGTACACAAAGAAAGGAAACTTCTCCAGTAAAACTACCTCACAAGTGGACAACTGACTCTTTGACAAGAGGTATTGGCTAGTTTTCCTTAATCTGTGCAATACTGGCATTCCAGTCCTATACCCTGAGCAGATGGGCTAATGCTTGGCTACTGAGCTAGAACCCCAGTCCAGTGGGGAGAAATAGGACATCAGTCTGGCCACTATACTTTCCTGTGTGAACACAGAACTGAAAGACAACAGGTGATTAAAACTAACAACCAGTGATTTGGCCTCAATCACATGAGCAAATCCCAGTGCATTAAAAAAGAAGAAATATGAACAAAGCAACATGACCCTCCCAAACTCACCAGCCCCACAGTAACAAACACTAATAGTGAAGTTGATGAAATCTTAAAGAATTAAAAAGAATTATAAGAATGATTAGTGAAATGAAAAGGGGCACCAGTAAAAGCCTGAAGAAAACTTAATTCAAAGAAAACTTAAAACTCAAAATTAGAATTCTGAAAATGAAAAGCTGAATAAGTGAGATAAAATAAGCTACTAAAGGGCTGGGAAGGTGGCTCAGTGGTAGAGCGCTTGCCTTGTATGCACGAGGCCCTGGGTTCGATTCCTCAGCACCGCATAAGCAGAAAAAAAGCTGGAAGTGGCACTGTGGCTCAAGTGCTAGTGCGCTAGCCTTGAGCTGAAGAGCTGAGGGACAGCGCCCAGGCCCAAAGTTCAGGCCCATGACTGGACCCAAAAAAAAATTTTAAAAGTTACTAAAAAGTCTCTCCAGTACACTGGATCAAATTGAAGACAAAGATTTGTCAAAATATGCAGATTAAGATAAAAAAAACTAACGTATAAATAACATAAAAGACCCCCTAGGATACCATTAAAAGATCAAGCCTACAAATTATGGACATACAAGAAATCATACAAGTTAAATGTATCAAAAAGATACTCTATAAAATAGTACCAGAGAATTTTCCAGATCTTGAAAGAAATTGTCATTGGTAGGAGAGTTTTTGGACTTCAGACAGGCAACAGAACTCCTGCATACTAGGGAAAGAATATGAGAATTGAAAAAGAAGCGTCAAGACTACTTATAAAGGCAAACCCATCAGAATAACAGCACATTTCTTACCTTTAAGAGCAAGGAGGATATAGATTGATGTACTTCAAGTCCTGAAACAAAATAACTGCCAACCTAGATAACTATATGCAGCAAAGCTGCCCTTATACTTGGAGGAATACAAATTTATAATAAACAACAGAAGCAACTTATAGCCCCTGTAAATTAGTGCTGCAAATGATACTTGGGGGTGTCCTACACACACAGAGAAAAGGAAAATAAAGTCAACCAGGAAAATATGGAAGAGAATAAATCTCACTAGACAAGAGATAAGCAAATAGTGAGGAAGAGTAAAACAGTGCAAAAGGGATAAAATGGCAGTAATACTATATAATTTTCAATAACTAAATGTTTATGACTTCATATCTCCAATCAAAAGATAGATTGGCAGGGGCTGGGAAGGTGGCTCAGTGGTAGAGCGCTTGCCTTGCATGCATGAAGTCCTGGGTTCAATTCCTCAGCACCACATAAGTAGAAAAAAAAAGCCGGAAGTGGCGTTGTGGCTCAAGTGGTAGAGTGTTAGCCTTGAGCTGAAGACCTGAGGGACAGCGCCCAGGCCCAGAGTTCAGGCACTAAGACTGGACGCAAAAAAAAAAAAAAAAAGATAGACTGGCAGACCCAACTATTCGTTGACTATAAGAAGTGTACCTCACTGACAAAGATAAATGTAGGCTCAGAGTGAAAGGATGTAAAAAGATTTTCTAAGCACATGGAGTCTAAAAACAAACAGGATGAGTATTTCTAGCTGACAAAGGAGACTCAAACCAAAATTAGAATACACTAAGATCATTCATAGAATACACCATATAACAAATACTTAAGATAATTTAATAGAGGACCAGTGTCAATTCACATAAAGATTAATAGTAGCTAAATTTATTGTTAATACTTGGTTTAATATTTTTAAGTAAAATTGGACCTTTGAATTCTGAAATTTGTAATATATTAATAAGACACTTTTCATGTTTTCTTTAAAAAAAGTAGAAAAGATAAATAAAACCAATGAGTCAACCATAATTGTTGAACCTTTGCTTAACCTCTGTGTATGCTTGCCAATATTATTTTAAGACTATTGTCAGATCAATTTCATGAAATAACTTTCTCATCATAGGCAAAAAAAAAAAAAACTTGAGTTCTACATGGAAATAGTTATTTTAGTTTTTATGGTCATTTGAGTATTCAACAATTTATGTGGAGTTGAAGTGAGATTTACTTTTTTGTTATTGTTCTGGTTCTGGGTGTCAACTTAGGATTTGGGTGCTGTCCCTGAGCTTTTTTGCTCAAGGTTAGCACTCTACCACTAGAGCCACAGCTCCATTTCTGGTTTTTGTGGTGCTAAATTGAAGGTAAGAGTTTCACAGACTTTTCCTGCCCAGCCTGTGTTCCAGCCTTGCTCCTCATATCTCAGCCTCCTGAGTAGGATTACAGCCGTGGGCCATCAATGGCCAGCTAAGATTTTTTGTTGTTGGTCATGGGGTTTGAACTCTGGGTCTGGGCACTGTCCCTGAACTCTTCAGTACAAGATGAGCACTCTACCACTTGAGCCACAATGCCACTTCTGGTTTTCTGGTGGTTAAGAGCGATAAGAGACGGACTTTCCTGCTTGTGCTGGCTTTGAACTGTGACTCAGATCTCAGCCACCTGAATAGTTAGGATTATAGGCGTGAGCCACCAGTGCCCAGCCTTAAGATTTACTTTTTAATCTTATTTTATTATATTTTCTTTGATGAATGAAAATAAGGTAGAAATATTATTCAAGAATCTTTTACTATGGACAAAATAGATTTTTGGAATTTTTAAACTTTATGTATGTAAATTTAAAATAGAAAGTAGGCAGGGCACTGATGGGTTATACTTGTGAGCCTACTAGCTTTTCAGGAGGCATAGGCCTGGGAGGATTGAAGTTCAAAGCTAGCCCTAGTAGAAAAATTTATGAGACTATCTCTAACCAGGAAAAAAAAAAAAAAAAAAAAGCTGGCTTGCCAGGTACCAGTGGCTTACACTGATAATTCTTGCTACTGAGGAGGCTGAACTCTAATGACTGAGATTTGAAGCCATGAGATTGTACTTTCTGGTTAACCACCAAAAAGCTGAAAATGGAGCTGTGCCTCAAGTGGTAGAGCACTAGCATTAAGCAAAAAAGTTCAGAGACAGTAGCCCCGCCCTGAGTGAGTCCAGGATAGACATACGCACGCACCCTGCAAGCACACAGACACACACACACACACACACACACACACACAGACACACACACACTCTCAAAGCTGGGCTGGAGGTATGGCACACACACACACACACACACACACACACACACACACACACAGACACACACACACACAGACACACACACACACTCTCAAAGCTGGGCTGGAGGTATGGCACACACACACACACACACACACACACACACACACACACACACTCAAAGCTGGGCTCTAATGGAAGAATACCAGCTTGCGCAAACTAGCCTAGCTAGCAAGACCCCAAGACCCCCAAGTTTAAGTCCTGATACCAGAAAAGAAAAAAAAGTGAAGCAGCTTGCTTTGTATCCTTCTAAGTACTTTTTTTGTGTGTGCACGCATACTCTGTAGTTTAGGGAACTGAAAATACGGTCCGTAAGGAAACAAAGTCCCTATCTTTCTTGAGCTTTCATTCTGGTGGAAAGATGAATAGTTACCAAATAGATACTTATACAATGCAATGTAATGATCAGTAACATGAAAAAAGTGGTATAAGAGCAGTATAATAGAGGATACTTTTAAGCATCATGGTCAGAGAAATACCCTCAGTTTTGGTACCCTCAAGCACTTGAGACCTGAATTAAATAATTGACCTAGCTATGTAATCGTCTGTGAAGAAGAGCATTCTATAGGAGAGAAAGGAAGTGCAAGGAGCCTGGGAAGCAAATTACATTATTGTGACAATAAGAAGGAACATAAAGAGTGAAGGTGAAGGTTAAGAATCTGGTGGAGGTTAAATCACACCAGGTCTTGTATGTCCTAAGTTCTTTAAATTGTAATCTTTTAGAGGAAGAAAACAAGGTAATAACAGAAACTGAATAGCTTTTTAGAAATATTTCATAGGTTGTTGGACAGGGAGATGGCAGTAGAAGCAGAGAAACCTATCATCAAATATAAATACATTTAATTATTTCAGATTCATGGATAATTAGGTATGCTGCCATGATTCTAGTTTTTATTTAAGCATTAGATTACTATCCAGAATAGCAATAAAAACATAAATCAGTTGTGAAATTGGAGAGGAAATATAGCCTTAGATTCTTTTTACAGTTTATTCAGATTTATTTTTTGGATTGCAACCTGAAGTTACATATTGTAATACCGCATTTGTTTATGACTTTCCTAAAGTGCTTTGTGTATCAGATTTTCTTTCCCAAATTGTTTCTGTGCTATGACACATTTTCTCATACCAATTGTAGATGTAAACTAAACTATTACAAAAACAAACTTATCCACTAAACAATTAGTGCTTTGATCCTTAATCTTCATGTTTCAATTTTTTTAATGTAGAAGAAAGACTGTCAGACTGATCTATCTTTCCTATTGCATAAAAAAGCTTAGAAATTGTATGGGGAGGATAAAATGGTATCATGTCTAAATAAGGTTTAACTTTTTATACAATTAACAAAGAGAACTCTTAAAATGCTGGTGAAGGGGATTTATTGCTTATACAGAAGATTTGACCTTGTGAATTGACTTATTCTTCTTCAAGGCACTTGAGAGAAAAGACAACGATAGCAGTTACATCTAGAGGCTATTATGGATTGGAGGATGAGAAGGGAACTGCATGTACTTCAACAAGGCGTCGGTCAACACCTCGAAGTTTGGCAGGCTTGACCAGTGGAGTTTTTGAGTCTATAATGGTTCAAGTTTTGAGACAGGAAGAACAGCTGAGAGCAAAAGAAGAAAAAAGGTAATGCCAAAAAAAATTAAGTTTTGTGATGTTCAGATTTTCAGGAATTAGCTTTTCAAAGAATGGCTATATAACTTTTATGTGCCCAAATCAATTTTTTGGGCCTATTTTAGTAGTATTCCAAAATGCAGTGAAAATGAGTTGATAATAAAATATCACAATGACATTTGTTTAAGAATACAGTTAAATTTTAAAACAAAAATTTTATTTTATTTTTTTGTCAGTCATGGGGCTTGAACTCAGGACTTGGGCTCTGTCCCTGAGCTTCTTTTTTTTTTTTTTTTGGTCCGGTCGTGGGGCCTGAACTCTGGGCCTGGGCACTGTCCCTCAGCTCTTCAGCTCAAGGCTAGCGCTCTACCACTTGAGCCACAGTGCCACTTCTGGCTTTTTTCTTTTTGCTTATGTGGTGCTGAGGAATTGAACCCAGGGCCTCAGGCATGCAAGGCAAGCGCTCTACCACTGAGCCACCTTCCCAGCCCTGAGCTTCTTTTGTTTAAGGCTAACACTCTACCACTTTGAGCCATAGCACCACTTCCAGTTTTCTGGTGCTTAAGTAGAGATAAGAGTCTCACAGACTTTCCTGCTTGGGCTGGCTTTGAACTGCAATACTAAAATCTCAGCCTCCTGAGTAGCAAGGATTACAGGTGTGAGCCACCGCATCTAGCTAAAACAATTTTTGTGTTTTTTTTGCCAGTATTGGAGCTTGAACTCAGTGCCACATGCTCTTGTTCAGCATTTTTGCTCACAGCTGGTATTCTACCACCTGAGCGACACCTTTCAGCTTTTTGCTGGTTAATTGGAGATAAGAATCTTTTGGATTTATCTGCCAAACCTAGCTTCAAACTGCAATTCTCATATCTCAGCTTCCTTAGGATTATAGGTATGAGCCATCTGTACCTAGCAAAACAAATTATGTTGGAGTTATAAAAATAATTTTTATAAAAGTTTTCAGGATAGTTTCTAGGTTCTAGAAATAATCTCAAGGAAATTTTAAATTTGAGGAATTTTACATAGATTTCCAGTTTTAGAACAGAATAGCAGAGCTTTAAAATTAGGACACACTACAGAGATTTTGTAGTTCAAGAATTACATATAAATTCATTTTTGCTAGTTTCTCCATTGATAATAATTTCCTGAGAAAATGATTGTTCTTAACTCAACAGGTAAGAGCTTAATTAGTGGTCCTTCTCGAATTTGGTAGCATGAAGTGATGACACTTCTATAACATTTAGTTACAACAAAAGGAAGTTAGGGCTCAGAGAGGTAAATAAAATTCAGAGTTCTATACTTGATTGGTGATTTTTATTTAAAAATATATCTCAGAGTATGTTGGGAGTGACAGTTGGTATAGTAGGAATATTCTGATGTTAGTAAAAAGCAATTTATGATATTTTGCTGCTCTTATAATAATTTCCTTTGATTTATAGGGTTAAAACTCAGCTTTGGGTTTTCCTATTGTCATACTGTCATGCAATGATTAATTTGGGAGCCCAAATTAATTGATTAATTTATGCTCAGCTCCATAAAGTTTTTCTGCTTTAAGAAGTGGGAGCTTATGGAGAGGGATAAAAATTAACCTGGCAGTATTGTATAATACATTGGATTAGGGAGAACTGAAAAACTGGAAAGCTAATAGGAAGATGACTAAAGTAATCTAGACTTTTCACTGTAAGTCACTAAAAATAGATAGAAATTATATTGTTCTAGGAGCAGTTATTAGGATATAGTACCTTCCTTGAAACAGAGCAAAGGAAGAGACAAATGTGCGTTGCAAAGGCTAGTAATAGTAACAAGACAGTAACAATAATAATTAACAAGAAGAACATTTTTAAAATGGTTAACATTTATGGAACATTATTCAATGATTAACATTAGCTCTCAATGCCTTAAATGTAGTCAACATTTATCCTAAGTCACAGAGAAATTAAGTATTTTATCTAAAGTCAAGTAGTATTTAAATGGTATAATTGATTAGAACCTGAGCAGTCTGGCTCTAAAGCTTGTTCTACTAATCTGTATACCATTTTTTGACTTGTAAAATGGTGAAAACCTCAAAGACACGGAAAGGTTTGAAAATGTGAGTCCTAGGTAGGATAAGAGCAGTGAACTGATTCTGCATTCTGATTTGAAAAATACAAGTAGAAGCCAGGCACAGCGGCTCATGCCTATAATCCCACCTATTCAAAAGGTGAAGATTAGGAGGATTTCAGTTTGAGGCTAACCAGGTAAAAAGTCACACGACCCCTTCTCAATGAATAACTGGGTTGGTGGTATATACCTATCATTCTGGTTACATGGGATGCTAAGATTGGCCAACCCATTCAAAAAAAGTTGATGAAACTCCATCTCAATGGAGAATCTGAATGTGTTGATAAGCCTATCATCCCAGCTATTCAGGAAACATGAAGTAGGATGATCTTGATCTAGATGCAGGCCCAAGCAAAAAGTGAGACTTTACCTTAAAAATAACCAGTACAGAGAAAGGGCTAAAGGCATACATGGGTCACACTTATCTAGCAAGTATGAGGTCCTGAGTTCAGACCCTTTACTGTCCTTCCAAAAAAGAATCCAAGTAGGAAAGGCTAGTAGGAAACTAGAAAAATGTCAAAATCTTCTTTGTTCAATCTTATGTTTTGTGTGTGTTTGTGTGTGTGTGTGTGTGCGTGCGTGTGTGTGCACGCGCGCGCATTAACATTGTATAAACAGGTGAATATGCCATGAGAGGAAGGTCTTAGCAGTTATGTTTGCTTAATGGGTCATATGAATTAAGCTATCTTCTGGGGTATAGAGTTTCTTTTTGTTGTTGTTTTTGTTGATTCTGGGGTTTGAGCTTGGGTCTTGTGCTTTTTAGGTGTGTGCTCTATCACTTGAGCCACATGCTCAGCCCTTTTTTGCTTTAGTTATTTTTCAGGTAGGGTCTTGTGTTTTTGCTCTATCTTATTTCACTCTACTATCCTTCTACCTGTGGGCTCTCACATAGCTGGTATTACAGGTGCACACTGCCATACCCTGCTTATTAATAGAAATGGGGGTGTCTGGCTAACATTTCCCCAGAGCTGGCCACACACTGTGATCCTCCCTAATTTTCCTTCCTGAGTAGGTGGGATTACAATTCTGAGTCACTGAGCCCAGACAACTTTTTCTTTTTAAACTACAGTATATTTTTTACATAAAAGATAAATTAAAATTATATACTTTGTACCCACAATGCAGCAAATTTGGGGAGACAGTACTTGGTTGAGCTTAGGCACTTGTGTTTGCTAGTCAGGTTTGGTCTTTTCTGAGTTAGAATCTTGTGTTTATGCCCAAGCCAGTCTATGCCATGATTCTCCTCTTTACATTTCCTGAATAGGTGGGATAATAGGTGTGTGCTACCACACCCAGCTTTGTATTATTGAGATCGAGTCTCAAGAACTTTCTGCCCTGACTGTCCTTAAACTGTGATCTTCTTGATCTCTGCCTCCAGAAGTAGCTAGAATTATAACTGGAATTAATTACTGCTCTGTCAAATTTTGGGGGGAAAAATGTAGGGCCACAGCAGCAAGATGACAGAGTGATATCACCTAACATTCTTCTTCATAGACATCCCTAATAAAACAGATATTCTCACACCTAATTTATTGGTGGTTAAGTAATCTTGACTTCATCTTCCAAGCCACAGGTAACTATGGACAGTGCAGATCCACAAAATGTTGGCATGGAAGGTTTGGTGCAGAGCACCAGATTCCACCAAAGGATCAATGCAGCATGGCTGATGCACCGACGGTAACAAAGCAGAGAGACCTAAATACAAACTTCTACCCAGAGGATAGAACCCTCAAATTGGACTGGGTATTGCCACTAGCCACAACACATCTGAGAGATTATGGAGGAGAGCACCTTACCTGTTGGATAGGAAGCACAACATGGCAGCTTATATCTCAGAAAAGGATTACCATCCCTTGCAGTCTGCAACAACAGACTGAGTTTTCTGGGATTTGGTAAAAGGAGGCAACTACAAGTTTAGTGGGAACTATGTAGGTAGGAGTGGCAGATTGAGGAACTAGACCTAAGAAGCCATCTCCGAAACTCCTTGTGAAACTCTTTGAACTTCTAAGTCCTTCCCCAACTATACTGGAAAATGAACCCAAATAGATAGCAGCCTCCTGTTATACACTAATTTGAAGAAGTTGGACACTATTTTTTTAATTTTAATTTTTAAATTTGTTATTTTAAAAGTTATACACAGAGGAGTTACAGTTACATAAATCAGGTAGTAAGTACATTTCTTTTTGGACAATATCATCCCTTCCCTTACTCTGTTTTTCCCTCTCAACCCTACCCTTTTGTGATTTTTCAAATTATTAATATCAATTTATATTGACTGTATGATTAATTTGTGCAATTTAATCACAGTTGTCATATTTTCATATATATATATATATATATATAGTGCTTTAATCGATTCCACCCTCCCTATTACTCTGTTTTGTCTCTTTACTTATCCTTCTCCCTCTGTCCCTTTTACCCTTTCCATAATAGCTCATCATTTATGTCTTCTACTTTTTTTCCCTTCTATATATGAGAAAAAAACGTACAATAATTGTCTTTCTGTGTCAAGTTACTTTGGTTAACATAATGAGTTTCACCTAATTCTATTCATTTTCATGTAGATGATTCTGATTCAGTTTTATTCCTTGTTTTGTTTTCTTTTCCGTATGCAGCCCAGATTACCTCCAACTCACTGTGTAGCCCAGTCTGGCCTCTCAATCCTTCTGCTGCCCCCTCTTCATTTCTGGGATTATAGACATGAACCACTAAACCTCTTTTTTATGGCTGAATAAATTTCCATTTTATATATACAGTATACACACTATTCATTTATCTACTAGCAGTACATAGGCCGATTTCATAGCTTGGCTGTTATGACTATAGTGTCAAAATATACATGAGTAGCTGGGTCCCTGTGGCTCGATCCTAGCTACTTGGAAGGCCAAGATCTGAATCATGGTTTGAAGCTA